AAATGCTAAGTACTTAGAAAGGGATCAATAAATATTTATTAATTAAAATACAGAAAGAAAAATGGCAACGCTACTTGAGTGCTCACTGTGCATCAGGCATTTTGCTAATATACTGAGATAACCATATTTCTTCTTCAACCTCACATCAATCCCAAGGTAGGTACTATGATTATCTCTGTCTTACAGAGAAGGACACTGGGACACAGAAAGGCTAAGAAACTTGCCAGTTGCTCTTGGCAAGTGATACAGAAAGAAAATGTTTGGAAATAAATAAAACAGCATAGGGAAAAAAAATCTGGAAATTCTACATAGTCAAATAATTAAAAAAAAAGAGGAGACAATTCTGTAAATAGTGAGTGCTCCTAAGTGCTTAGTAAGTGGCTCTTTGGGGAGGGAGAACCCTGAGTTATAGCATATGCCCATTTCCACAGTGTAAATCCTACCACCACAGCCAGTTTCAAGCTGCCAATGTGACGTTACTTAACGGGGCACTGGGAGGAGGTCTTATGTGCGCCAGCTCCAGCACACCACTGCCTGCAGCCTTCAACCAGCTATACAGGTAGAGAGGTAAATTAACAGGCTAATTATATGACCAGGAGATAACAAGTAAATCAAAGAAAAGGTGCCACTGCTATCTCTGTTGTTCATGGGGCTCTGTATATAAGCAACAGTCAATTTATATTTAAAATTAATGAGCTCCTAAGGAGTATAATGAAATATATGAAAGGCAGTGAGGATGAACAAGTAATTCACAGAGATTCCTCAAGGAAACATACATTTTACATGAATGACAGAGTTGACATTAAAAAAAAGTATTCTTTCTACGGGATTAATGAACAATGATTAGAAAGTGATTCCCTGTTAAAGTCCTCCACAAGAAGCACACAAGAGGATTTATTTCTAACTAGAAAAGGAGAAGAAGAAAGCAGTTTAAGGAAGCTATTTGATTTGGGTCAGCAACAGTCATTGCAACCAAAAGTGGAGGGACATTATTTTTGCATACCCTGTGCTTTACAAACTACCAGTCATATAAAAGGGGTTGAATGATATTAATCAGAAGGAAGAAAGAGAAAAAGCTAATCACATATATAGATGTAGTTTATCTATATTTTAAGAAAATACAAATATGTGAATGAGGGAGTTCAAAATATTATTAGTATATTTACACCATTGCTTTAAGGTTCCTTTAGGTTATCCTTTATGTTACCCATTCATCAGAAGCACTGAATGAATAAGCATAGTCAGATGAGTTTTATCTTTGTATAAAAGGGAGTTAGAATTATTAATATTAAGGTACTGATCCTATCTCCTTATAAAGTTCCTTTCTCTTTTAACAGAATCCAAAAAATAAAAAGTATCTAGAAAAATTATCAATGAAATATAAAATCTATTTTTCACACAGAACGCAAATATAAAGTTAAAGAAAAGCAGCTGGTGATTTGCAAGCAAGAAAGATAAATCCTACACAAATTTGTTTAGCGGTTTGGCAACCTTAAACCAGTATGTCCCCATTTTTTTTTTGGCATGTGGCACGTTATTGAATCTGGCTCTTATGAATCTGCAGCCTGTCTATTAGTTAACAGAATCCTGGCTTAAACAGGCTCCATAGAAAAAATTTATTAGCACTACTTTTTGCTACTTAATACAGATGCAAGACAAAGGCAAAAGACGCTTCTGAGCCTTGTTAGAGTCTGTGTGTGTTGTTTTCTGATGATCTTGTCTCAATAGTAGGTCCCAGGCATCTTTTATTGGGTCAATTTAACTATTGATTTCTACTCATAATGCTTATCAATGGCAGGAAAATGTCACTTTTTCAGTCCACTGCCTTAGGGGAGAAAAATTCACAGAGTAAAGGATTAAAAATGAAAAAACAAAAATATCGATCAGTAACACTGTTACCCAGTACATAAAATAACTCAACCAACCAATTTTGCTACTTAACTAAATCGACTTTTTTTTTTCAGCCCAGTTATCAAACTGAGATGAGACTACAGGTGTATATTTTTAGCTTTGTGATATCACAATTAGTTGAGCAGAGAAAACTCAAGTCAAATGATTTTAGTGTCCTACATACAATGCTAGTTTCCATTTCCTTGAATGAAAGAGGCCTTTCAAAGAGGCGACTATGTCAATTTTTAAAGAAATGTATGGCCTAATTTACAACTATAATGACTATAATTAGTTTATTTTTTATAAACCTTAAGGGTGGGGGCAAGGAAGGTTATGGCATGGATCTGGAGTTACTATTTCAGCTGGCATTCCACATCTCGTCCCATTTCAAAATCAATACAAATAAAGTAGTATTTATTGGAAGCTGACCATATGTTAGACTTATGGGTAGGTATTAAGAGATCCCAATGACAAAGGGACACTCTCTGCTTTCAAAAAGTTTCCAGACAGAGGACGTGGAGGTAAAAACCTAACTACAATGGTCTATATAAATACACTAGGAGTATGACCAAGTTCTAACATACCTCCCCCGTCACTGCATTTTTATGTAGTAAAATAACCTAGCCAGTCATGTATGTGTGTTCGTATTTCTGTATTATGGTAACATTACCTGGCTTATTACAATCATATCTAAAACAAGGGCGGATAGGCGTTAAGTTACAGATTAAGAGACTGTCCTAGGTGATAACTGATATATCCAGACTTTAAAAAAAAAAACTCAAGATAAAACAAATATCACCATCTCTTCCAGTTAGTTTAAAAGTAGATCCGGCTATATGTTCTTCTGAAATTAACATGTTACTGCGTGCTATAAAGACAATTAGCAAGATTTCAAATGCAGAAATACAAAATTATGGATTAAAGAAAAACTCCTTAAAATTTTAGTGATGAAGAATGGCACACAGGCTCCATCAGCTGTCTCTTGAGCATTTTAACTACTTCCCAATTTGCAAGATTAGAAAATTGGACTAGCCTCATAATCATCAGCAAATATAAAACATAATCCATGTAGTACAAAGGTGTTCTCTTTTGAGCCTTGTATGAAGATGTTCACCGATGAAGACAATAAGTACTGCTTTATGCCAGGGGGAGATACTCTACAGACCTCGTATCTGCTTAAGAGTATTATGGCCTTACCTTCTCCGAACGCACACTTTGCAGAAAAGCATGCCAACTCTAATGTAATCGGTCAGGAGGACTTATTCTCCAAGTAGGTAACACTTACAAACTGTGAAGCTCCTTGAAGAGGGCCAGTAAGTTTCCAGAAGTAACAGATCTTACTGTTCAAGTGGAGATCGCAGCATTTGTTACCAGCTACATAATTACGCCACTCTAACCCTTAATGAGCCTGAAGTACTAAATTTTTAATCCCTCCTGATGATCCTCTTCAAAGTGGATAAATGTAGGTTTCTTCCCAAATACTTAATTGCTAAGACTACAGGCATCAACACATAATCTGGATATTTTTTGACTGCAGAACTTTTCAGTTCTTTTTAAAATAGCTTATGACACAGCTCCTAAAATAATTATTAGAGGGAAGAAATAATGAGCAAATTAACAAGTGGCAGGGCCTAGGCATTTATACTTTTGGGAGCTTGGACTCTCTCTTCTACTTCAGGTTGAAGATTTGCAACACCGGAAAGGTTTCATGCTTGGAAGACAAAACATGTATTCATTCATTCATTCATTCATTTATACCTCTCCTCTCTCTCTATCTCTCTCTTTTTTTTAATGGAGGTACTGGGGATTGAACCCAGGACCTCGTGGATGCTAAGCATGCACTCTACCACTGAGCTATACTCTCCCTCCAACTTTTCTTTTCTCTAAAATTAGAGTGTGGAAAAATTTAAGTGCAACAGAGATACATGAATTTCCCTATAAATAGCATGTATCTTTGTTATTGTTATTAGTTCTGTGATAAAAACATCAGTAGTTACAGTTGCAGTCTGGATCCCAGAAATGTCCCTTTCACAATAAACACCAACACTGACCAATGCTCTTCTCAATATTCTTAGCAGAGTGAAAAAAAATATGGAAAAATGAAACACCGATGATGTTGCTACCCTGGTAGTATCACTTCTTCTCATAAACCTTTGAAGAATAAATACTATTTTACGTAAGCATGACACTTCCCCAACAAAGCACTCTCACTAACAGCGAGTTAATACTGTCACAAAAATAAATGTGTATTGTTCCACTGCCCTGATCAATTATCATTCCCCTCTGAGACATGGGCTGTCCGTATAATCACCATTATCAGGAAGCCTGGCCAGGTCCCTGTGTGCCTGCCTGCACAAGATAACACACAAAACATGGCATGAGAGTAAATAAAGGCCTGCTCCAGAGGTGCGCACCAACAGAACATAAACAGTTCATTACAGTGGCAGAGCAATTTAACTGGATGAGTCCCTCCATAAATGAAGGGTGCTGGATTCCTTAGAGAAATAGTTTATTATGGACAGTTATATGTCACTATCTAACAAATGTCCTATTACATGAAAAAAAAATTCTCTAATGAATTTAAAAGCACATAAAACCTGCTCACAATTATTGGTCATGGTCAGGAAGAAACATTGCTTTCAACTCACTAACAGTGAATGCCAAGGACATGCAGAACACTCTACATAGAGAGGTGACTCATGTTAGCTTCACATTCATAAGGAACTTATAAACTGGTGGGAAAAAGAAACATAAAAAAATGAGCTACAGAATCAGGTATAACGTGATTTATTCTGTAATACACAAAATGGTAGGAAAATGTAGAGAAGAAAAGTTATTCATGAAGTATGTCTCATTTGATGATCACTGTATAATGAGGGCTCTTATGAGTAAGAGCACAGAGCGAGAACTAAATATCTCATCTATCATCTGCAACCACGGGATGGCTACAGATGCACGAGTTTAACAAAAAACAAACAAAAAAGCATTCTGTAAAACTCACTTGGCTATACAGAATTTAAAATACAGGGTACTGTATATCATTTTAATTTTAAACTGTATCTTACACATGCTTTGGTTAGTAAATTTTATTATAAACTTAAGTATACTTATTTTTTTTTTGGAGAGCCTGCTATTAAACAGCAAAACACTATAAACTTTTAATGCCACCAGTAATCGAGGCATGAGAATAGTCAAGAAAGTTAAGCACCTTAACAGCAATGAGTAACACTGACGCGACCCACTAAAAGTAGTTATCCTCAACTACTGTGTCATAATGCTTTTTTCATAAAACGAAGACATCATACTCCAGTTTTTGCTATGACCTATCCAGTCATATTTAAGGGTCTGGTGATCTCAGGATCTTTATGAACATGATTAAGCCTTAATCTCACCAGTGGCTCCTCAAGTTTCCTAATCTGTAGAGCAAACGGACTGCACGACACCATCTCTAAAGACTCTTCCTCTCCTACCTGCAACCCCAAGAATCTATGAATCACTGGAGTTCAATGTGGCAAGTGATACAGGAAAAGTTATCTCCAGACATCACGTAAAACCCTTGAACATCATATGAACAATCTTTTAAAATGCACATCTTAAATTTAGGCAAGGAAAAAAGTCAGTGGAAAACCTGAGCACCTGAAGATTTCATTCCTAAAATATTTATAAAGCTTTAATTGTAGTGGAGGCTTGACTCCTCAATGATCGGTCTCTACAAGAGTCGCTCTGGTTAAAAACTTCAGCGGAGCCACAGATGACTCTCAATTTTCTTTCAAGCTACTTCAGAAATGCTAGAAACATTTCCAATATTACAAATAAAAATAAGGTTACTGGGTTAGATTTCAAATCTTAAATACTAACCTAATACTGAAAAATCATTATAATCAGGAGTCCTTGACTAGCCAGGATATTACAATTTGGAAGCTGGCTGCCATCTGTGCATGACTGCAGACTATCTTTTTTTCTTAATCTGTATTGATTTTATTTCTATTCTTCACATTGACATAATAGCTAGTCATGGCTTGGAAACGAGATTTGCAGCCTGTCCTTCCAAAGATCTATGCAGTAATGATAAACCCAGCGGTTGGAATCCATCAAGCTCACACTGAGCACAGTCACTGGGGGAAAAGTTGCTGCTGGACAATGCATCTTTTCAAACCACCTAGAGCAGAATCTGTAAATCCACAAATGATTTTCCATCGATCAAGGCCTATTTTCACTCAAATGCAGTTTAGAACCACACAGTGGAATAAATCTGAAGCAACCTGATAAACCTAAGACATTCTTTAAGTTTACGATGATATAGTTTTACAAATGCTATTTAAATTATATGGAATTAAACACACACACACACACACACACACACAAGTTCAAAAAATAGAAAGGCCAAAGTTCCGCCAAAGTGGTTAAAGTGTGCAATGGGGTTACATAATTTCTTGCTGAGTTTCAAGACGACATTCATTAAATGACTGGAAATGTATGAAGCAGTATCCTTTTAAGGAGTTCTGTTATAAGATAAACACATTTTAGTGATCAAATCACTTTCAGGATGCTTGTAATTTGAGATTTCATTTTTCTTCCAACAGTGACCTGTTTTTCTCTAGAACAGTTACTAAGAAAAATATTTTTGAGCGAGTCATAAGAATGACTTCCTTAGAAGCCCTTTCCTTTGTACTATTAAACAGTCTGGAAAACTGCTTGCTTGACTCATTCATGCTGTCAAAATATACTACAGGCTAAGGCTCACCATCAAGTTCCCCTGATTCCTAGAACAGCACATAGAATTTGTGCACAAAGTTCTAAAGGAACGACATTTGGAGTTTTAGGATCACTTTCGTGTGTTGATAGTTTATAAAACTACATCCACCCAGGCTAGTCTATTTATTTGCTAAGCCTGAGGACTGCCACTTTTTTGCAAGAAAAATTCCGTTCATTTAAATCCATGATGAGTTAGAAATTCCAAAAGAAGATGTTAGAACAATTTGGAGACTCCTCTATTTGCAGTTATTTGGAGATAACAAGATGAAATAAAATATGTGAACATATGGAATCCTTAACAAAAGTAAAATAATCATGAGGTCGACCAGTCATCACTGGAACGCCACACTTGTTAATATACATCATGGTAAGAATCTTGAAAGTAACACTTACTCTTTTACCAACTGCTATTTTATTATGATTAATAGAGGAGATGCAGCAAAATGGAAGACATGCAACAAAACGGGAACCTGCTAATTACAATTCACGTACATCAAGTAGCATTTTTTTAGGGAACAGAAGTCAGAGGGAGTGTTAATTTAGAGAGAAAAAAGTATTTTTCAATCGGAAAGCTAGCAGGAACGTTAACGAATCAGAGGGACTCCACCTTCTAACTATGAATAAGGAATTAAGTAGGTGACAAGGTTATTTCATTTTTTAAGTCATGTTTTGAAATGTATCCACAATGCTAATCAGAAAGCAAAGGCAGCCCTATATGAGAGTCTGGAGCAGGTAAAGATTTCCAGATGGTCTTATCCTTGGGAGAAAAATCCATCTTCTATATGGATTGAGAAGTCACGGCAAACATACTACATCCACTGAACCTCTCAGTAGGATTAAAAGAATAGTTGTTAACCAGGTGCATATAGCTTTTAAAAATATATATCTGGCATATCTCTTGGTTTACAGATTCCAACTGCGTCAGTCTAGATAGCGGGGCAAGTGGTAGGGGTGGAGGATGGATACACTTTCCAAGTCTTTTCCACTTTGTGCAGAAAGCGTGGAAAAGTACCTGAGATGCTGTCTAGCACACAGTAGGCATGCCTCATAAGCTGTTGACTCACATGGAATTAAGTGCATCCTACAGTCAGTATGGCTGGTCACTAAACAAAGGAAAGGTTTGGGGCAAGCAGGTATTTGAAGCAAAGTGGTCCAACTGGCACCATCTCTTATACGCTGCCGACTTTTAATGCTGAGCTTTCACATTTCTGTTTAAAGTTCTGGACTGGCAGGTCTTTTGAGGCCAGGGTTTTAATAGGCATTTCAAAAAAGCCACTCATAATTGTTTACGTTCCCTCATTTTTCACAAATCATATGCTAGGCAAATAAACCAGTAGTGGCAAAAGGTTACAGATCAAAAAGCCCTGGAAGGTATTAATACAGGGAGAAGCAAACAGATTTTGAAAAAGTAAACAAACTTAAACTTTGAGGCCATAATGTGACTAGGAAGGATTAAGAAACAGCACCTTTATTAACCCAGAAGTTGCTATCATTATCAGTATTTTAATATTTTTCCCAGCCTAGTATCTAATATTTCCGTAAGTGTATGTGTGTGTGCGTGTGTGTGTGCGTGCACGTGCATGTGCGTGCGTGTGTGTGAGAGGAAAATGCACAACTCTTTGACTGCTGATATTATCTGTAGAAACTTGTCTGCTGGAAAATGTTTCTATAACTTTGGTTTGGCTCCTACCTTGGAGCGGATCAGAAATAAAAACTTTTCCATGGATTAGAGCCAACTGAGCTGCTAAAACAAAAGGTAACATTCATTAGAGGACCATGGTACCATGATCTCATTCTGAAGGTTAATTTTTTTACATTAAGTGTGGATTTTTCTAAAGTTTAGAAAACTCAATTAATGTCAAGGAAAATAAGTAAACATTAGCCTTACCTTAAATGTTATTGTTTGCATGGAAAAATATTTTTAGCTAAGAAACATGAAACAAAAAGTAGACAAAAAGAATTTGTCCTATTCCTAGCTTAATCATTAGCTTAATTTTCTTAATTTCCCCCCCAAATGTTAGCACCTGCAGACCCACACACATCCTGTGTGTTATTTCTACTTGTATCCAATAATATGTGGTTTCAACATGAAACCATTCTTAAAAACAAGAGATTTTTTTCCTCAATAAAATGCGACCATCTAAGGATGTTACTTCCCTTGATTTTCAAAAGAGACATAGGGGAAAAATCCCAGCTTTTACACATCTGCTAACTAAGGATCAATTAACCATTTAATGCCAGGAAGGACTAACTGCACACTTTTTTTTAGCATTGCTAAAAATTGCTGAAAACAAATTTTATGTTTCCTGCCCTCAGAGGTCCTCCTGTACTTTCTCCTAATTGTTTCACAACATGTTTAAAGCCTAAATAGCCAGCTCAATTAAACAGGCTACAAGCATCTCCCTCAAACGTGTTTGATCCTCTTTCAACATCAAGTAATGCAATTAGCTCATTGCCACATACTAAATCAATACACAGCAGAACAGAATGGGCAATAATCAATAGCCTTAACAAGAAGGCAGTGGCATGGCTCAATAAATCAAATCGGAAGTGCACAAATCCTACTTGGAATTAGAATATAACAAAATTCACACACAACTGCAAAGGAGAACCTTAGGGCTAGCCATAGGAAACTCCAAAGCTACACTATTTCTGAAGAGACAATAAAATCAGGAAGCTGAAGTATTTCCCCCCAACTTGCTGCAAAAACTACATACTCTCTAGTTTCTAACCAAAGTCAACAGTCTCAGACCTGGGTATTAGGCCAGCATCTTTAAATATCGTGGAGCAGAAGAGACCATTTCACTGGACTAGAATTGGACTCCGATCAATGCTGAGGAATAGTGAAAGGGGAAAAAAAAGAGGATGTGATAAACGGAATCTCTCCGACTTGGATGGTCCTTTACACCTCTGAGAAGTAAGTGGTAAATATTTCACCAAGTAAGGTTACACAGATATAAAAAGCACAGAGCAGGGATAGTGCAAATCATGAAAAACAACTTTAATATTTAACCTCCTGTGCAGGTACCTTACTGAATAAACAATTTTATTTTTGAAAAAAAGTCTTAGGTGAGTGTTTGGGGAAGAAATTTACACAAACAATACAATATATGAAATAACAAATATGAATTACTTAGTTTAGACCAACATAGAGTTAAAGAGGCATTAGTTTTAAATGAAATTAAACTTGGAACAGATGGTTACAACCACTTTCCATTCATAAATAACTGCATTTATGAAACAGGTTTTCAGGCACAGTGATATAAATACTGACTTATTTTATTAATACTACTTCAGTGAGCTTAAGGTCAAATGGTACACATGTTAAAGGTTAAGAGGCGTTTTCTCTTGATAACAGGTAAGTAAGTTAGTATGTGATAATGCACGTTTATACATATTCCATGTAAGTCTTTTTTAAATTTTCTAATCAAATAATGGATAAACACCTGTAGTACAGTATGCAAATCAGTGTGACATTTCTTCTGACACAAGGAAAGTTCTCATAAGGAGAAGATAACTGAGACTGAACTCCAGCATTCAGACAACACCAGGACCAGCTACTAGGCATGGAATGTTTACACTGGGCGAGATGTTGCATGGAGTGACGTATATTATGTAAATGATTTCACTGAATCCTCACAGACCTTCAAAGCAGGTATCATCAGTCTCATTTCATAGAGGAGGAAACTGAGACTTGGGGAGGAGAAGTGATTGGCACAAAGTCACCAGGAAGTGACTGACAGAATCAAATCCAGATCCAACTGCATTCACAGTTTTGGCTCTTATCCAGGTCCGACTCTGCCCTGAACACTTATTTACTTATACATTTTTGCATCGGGCTTTTTGCAATTATTCTGCAGATGCTACTTCAATTAAAAATTCCAGGGTAGCACTGAGACTAAGTGAAAACCGCCAGTGGCCACATTCTCATTACTCCTGGCATCAATATTTATTTGCTATAAAATAGTGTTTATTGTAAATTTCATCCCAAGAAAAAGAGCATAAAGGTCAATCTAGACACTCAAAAAACACAAAAAGAAAAAAGAAAAAAAAGTAAAACTATAAAGCAAACCAAATGAAAAAAATGCCAAACGAAATGAAATCAAAAGGCAAGGAATACCGCTCACTTCTCCCTGTGATCAATTTGGTTTTGAACACAAAATAAGTTTGACTTCTATACCAATGCTGACCCATTATGTTAGATTTGGCATGCTTTCAGCATTATTAATATAGTAAGTACTATACAAATATACAAGAAATTAAATTAATTACTAAAAGTTTATTCCCAGCTAATGGTTAAAATATAGTATTAACAGTTATCAAAAATACCTAAGTGTGACATATAATACGAAGACAGATGAATCACTGTCAATGAGGTGGGTGAATGGTTTAATCTAGATTTTAATTTCTTACAGGACAACTTGCAAAGACTCACAGAGATTCAGACACAGTTTTTTGTTTCCAATATTATTATAAATGCCCAGTAAAATTCATGAAATATGAAAGAACTCTCAGCTACTTGCAAAATAATGTCTCATAGTTTCTGTGTCTTAGAAAAATATCAGTTATACTACTTCCTTGAGTAAGAAAGGATATTCTACTTTATGCAAAAAAAATCATAAAGATAATTATGAAATGACAACCTCCTTATCTGGTGCCCTGTACTTCACTTCCAAGCTTTGTCTTGAAATTCTGAAAACTCTCATTTGTTTTCTTCCCAGAACAGCCTATTCTTCTGATTTTCTATACTGTTTCCAGTCTGGCATGACTTTCAAAATTCTTCCTGACCTAAGGTTTAGACTCTCTATCTTATCAAACTTCTAGTTCAAAACTTAGTAAAAATTTCCATTTTAAATTTAAAAATCTGATTAGTGATAATACAGGGACAGTTTTCCGAAATAAGAAAAAGAGTGCGTGATCGTGTTTTTAGAAGCATAGTTGTCTTAAACTCAAGACTGAAGGCTGAAATCCCAGGTTCTGAAGACAGGCTGCCTGGGCTGAACCCCAGTTCGACTGCTCCTGAATGTTGAAACCCACACAGGTTACTTCATCATTCTGAGCCTCGTCGTTTTATATAACAGATGATGATCAAATGAGGGGAGGAAAATTAACCATTTCTACAAGTGGTACCTGAACACCAACCTGATTTAGGTTTATCTTGCTGAATTACGGAATATGATAATGGATCTGGTACAAATCTCTCACCACATAAACCCGTTCTACTAATACAAGCACAGCTTCTCTAGCAGCAGCATAACCAGAGCTGAGATTCACCTGCTCTCCTCACCCTGACTACGTTAACGGCTTCCAGTGTTTTTCACAACAAACCTTCAGACACACACGGGGACATTTAATGCCTACCTACATTAACGTGGGCAAAATTTGTGTCCTACTGGGATATTTTAATATTAAAGAATAGAAGAGTTAAAACAATGTTTTATTATTCTATGATCATTTTTATCTTCATTGTACTTCTCAGAAGCTTGAAAGCTTACAGTTACCACTAGCCTATCAAGCCTCTAAAAAGGCTCTGTGTGTGACCCTTGAAGCAGAATCGCCTATTGCAGTGTCTGGAACATAGCAGGTAATTAATGATGAAAAGGCGGGAGGGGAGAGAATGGGTTCTTTTCCCTTAACTGAGAGGCAGAAGAGGCAAATACTTTGGTCTGCAATTTCTTTCAATTCCTAAACCTTCAATATAAAAATATGTGTTTCTGGTGAAAATCTCTCTTCCAGCATTATTCATTCTTACTAGGAAATACAGAAGCCAAGAGTAGCTAATAAAGACTCTAAAAAATAGTAATAATATTTTTGCATTTCTCACTATGGACATCTAACCCACTATATGTTACACGTTAAGCTATTATATGTTAATCATAGTTTAAAGATTTGCTGGGGACCTACTTAAGTAGTCTACCATGCAAAAATTTGCCACAAAGATGACTCTGCTTCAATGTTGATATGACTCTTTATCAGAGTTTAAGATGAGTTTGTTTTTGAGGGTTTTTTAAAAAAATATATTGGTTTTTTTTTAAAATGTACATTTGTTTTCAATTTATTACTGTGCTATGACTCAGAGAAGGCATATCTGGCAGTAATATTTCATAATAGTGAAAAAAATTTAATAAATAAAATCATGATGATAATTTTTTTTTTCTCATGGCTAGATTTAGATTTTATTAGTTTCCACTTAGCCATGAAGAGATAAGAGATAATGTGAAGAAAGAGAGTTCATTCAGGGCACAGATCTTTCTTAACAGGATTCTTTATATAAATAATGAATTCTTTAGTTATTTATTTCTCCATGGTTCATTTCTTGGTTGCCTCCCTTAAAAGAGAATTGTTTTATGAAAAGCAATGTCGTCTCCAAAGAGGAATCTTATTTCAGGCATGATAAATTTGGCTCTGTTTTTCTCTGAAACCTTTTTTTTTTTTTTAACTTGGGCCATTTGGTAAGTTAACACTGTTTAGTTCTAAAAGCTTCCTGGGATTGGAAGATGTTACTAGACTTATTTTCAGTCCATGAACGACTTTAGAATATTAGATGAGCAAAGATATCTGAAAGCAAATTATCGTCTGAATGCAGTAACACGGAAAAGAATGAATTACAGATGTAATTTATCCGTCACAAGCAGATCCTAAACACTGATTATGTCCGGGCTTGTGCAGAAAATTGAAAATGATAGAAAAGTTTCCCAGTTTTTCTAACTTTAATTTTCCATGTTTTACTTTGTGTAATTTACTGTCAGCTATTAACAGCAGATGCTTCTTGCCTTATTTGAGAACAGCCTGGACTTAAGTATTTAAGTGATTGTGAAAACCAGAAGCCTCCACAGTAAATCTGAATTTTATACAAGAGAGAAATTCTAACGTAAGAAGCCTGGAGTCATATGGGGTCTTGAGAAAACAGTGTTGGATCTCAATAAACAGTGAGTTTCAACCTAACATTAACAGAAATTAAAATATAAATATTGTTGAATAAACTGAGATAGCATCAGAAGAATCCTTCTGGACCTAAAATTGCAACCCAGAGTTAAAATACAGGTAGGTCCCAGCAGACCAGAGGTGGTGGTGCAGGCAGGTGCACCGCCCGTGGCGGTGAGAACTCTCTTATTGGGGATTCCCTCCCGTTCTTCTCTTCCCACTTGCGGTCTCAGAATTAGTAGTTGTGACAGGGAAGGGAGGGAAAAAGGAACGATAAACCACCAGAGACATTTTTCTCTCTTCACCAAGTTTCTCCTCCAATGACCCTCCAGTTGCTACTGGGAAGTTCCCCCTCTGAACTCCACCCCACTCCCAGCACTGATCTCCCGGTAAGCTATCTGCCCTGGACGGCTGTGTTTTTACTATCTGCCTTCCCAAAGTTTGACCTAGGAGGTGTTTAAGTTATACTCCTTGAATGGTAGGATGCCCAACCCCCATCACCTCCTAAATGTCTTCCTTCTCACATCTGGTTCTTTACTGCTGACCCCTTGACTAAAGCCTGTGATAAAATGGCCAGAAAACAGGCAAACAAAAAAAATTCAGTTTGGTATTTCCCATCATCCACCTATCTTTCCCCATTTCTGCTAGTAATTAGAAAGAAACAGTATCAAAACAAAGCTACACTTTTGATAACTTTAGAAAGTAAAGAGCATGAGAAGAACCTATTTCTTAATATTAAGGTCCACAATGGACCAGACTCAGGACCAAAAAGCTATACATTTGAAAAGGAAGCAGGTTGAGCCCTTAGGGAAAAAGAAAAGTTACTTAGAAGACATCTTGACAAAGACGTCTTCCCACCCTGGGGAAGCTGTGGACCTCAGCCCCTCATTCTATGCCCTGCCATTAGTCCCTGCTGATTCTGATCCACTGACCTATTGAAAGCCAGCCCCTCCATGGCACAGGACCAGCCCAAGCGGAGAGTGAGCAAGCCTCTCACACTGGCTTGCAGAAAGTGTCCAGGAGTTTGGGGAAGGCCACCTCCTTTGCATTAGGCCAAGATGAATTTCTAAAGCTGTAAACTGCAAACTAAAACCTGACATACATCTTTTCCATTGAAACAGTCTGACAAAAGCAACTGGGGTCCATGACACTAGCATTACTTAAGATGTACGGATAAGGTGGTACTCATGACACTTCTGGGAAGCCTCCTGGACTTAATGACTAATCAGTTTCCAGGGAACTGTTCGCACTGGACTGTAACTCAAGCATCCTATGGGTTACTCAGGCTTCCCAGGGTCGGCCTAATGACTTAACCATGCTGCTTCTTTGGGAAAGTGCTCTCCAAAGGATTAAAACTTTGGAATATGGCTTTTTTATGCATTGGGGGATAACTATATAGTTTATACAGTGGCTGCTTATTTTAACATGATTAATTTAAAATGTTTTTCCTCCATGGCCATATATTTAAAACAGATATATAATCCTGAAAAGTTGTTAGCATTCTTGCTGCTGTTTTGTGTTCACTCATTGATTCATCTGCTGACTTAAAATATACTTTTCAGTATTTACTGTTTTAGGCCCTATG